CACATCAGAAATCTTAAGTATCTTGCACAATAAAGGTTTTTTCTTTTTTTTTTTGGGACGCAATACGAAGATAAAGAGTTGGGATTAGGTTATGCCTTTTAACAGCAGCGTTAGATGATGTGACTATTATAACGTAAACTGTACGCAGCATGTTGATCTAATAGCTACCTCTGAGATATGATACTCTACCCTGACGTTAGTAAAGCGAACGTGGCAAAGTACAGTACGATGAAGTGACTTGTGTGCACAACTCGCAAAAGAAAGAACTAAAAGAATATTCGGCGTTCAAGAATTTTTAGCTATTATTTTTAGCTGCAGTTCGCAGTTGAATTAGACTCACTGATCACAAGATGGTAAAAGCGAAAATGCTCTTAGAGATATAAAAGTTGAAATAAGCTTACGCAACTCAATAAGAAAGTGCAAAGCTTTCTTCTGTCTTAATTATTGATTATTGTGTATGTAAATCGCGATGTTAAAAGAATAGATTTGGATCTTTAGTGTATCAAGAAAATTCTTGCTTGAACACAAGTTAGCTAACTTTTAACGCCTTTTAGTTTTATTTTGACGTTGTTCAAAAAATGTTATGATTTTAATATCTTGTTTGCGTTAAAAATTTAATAATTTTTTTTTGATTTTTACTTTTCAAGATTGCTTAATCGTTAAAATTGTGGATATACATATATGCTAGTTTAGATGCAAGCTGCTGGCAAAAATCTTGAAAGGTTAACTGCTTTCATATAAGTAAGGCGTAAGCTTATTCTCATTCGTGAATTGCTTTCAATTCAATATTCCCCACCCTTGTCAAATAAATACATCGAGGCAACAGGTGAATGTTCATCAGAAAGTAAACTACACGACTTTGCACATGTCCATTAACGTTATGGACGTAGAACGATTGTCCAGCGTTGATAACCTGAAATATATGTTTTTCAACAGAGAGCTCTCTTATAATGACGATTATTTGAGAATATAAGCATTACCTTAATGAAGGAAAGATCCTCATCTTCCTCCTCGTCCAGTGGTTCATACTGTAGTTTATAATTCTCTATTCGTTTCAAAAAGTCTTCCTTCGCCTCTTCATGGGACATTATTCCCTTATAGTCGGGTGAATTAATTTTGACTTCCTAAAACTCGAAAATTTACAAACTGAGTTTACACATAGGTGGCTG